TTGAACTCAGGAACACTCATCTCCCTGAGTTCAAATCTGGCCTCAGACACTTAACTAGCTGTGTGATCCTGGGCAAATCACTTAGCCCTCTTTGCCTCAGTTTCCCCATCTGTAAAATGAGCTGGAGGAGGAAATGGCAAACCACTCCAGTATCTTTGCCACAAAAACTCCGAATGGGATCTGAAGAGTTGGACATGACTGAAATGACTGAACAACAAGAAGCAGTTTTGAAAATAAAAAAAAAATTTAGATGGCTCTTACATGAAGAACCCCTGATTTCTTCATCTTAAAGATAAGGAAACTGAAGCTTATAGAGCTGACTTGACCAAAGATCCCACAGTAAACAGCAGAGTCAAGAGAAATCCAATGCTCTTTCCCCTACACAGTGTTGCTTTTGTGTGTACAAATTACTTGCAATTCATGGCAAAATGCACATTCTATGCAAGAGATATATAAAGTAGGAGAGATTGTTTCCAGATGACAGGAAGGATGAGGAAAGAGCAAAGAAGGCTCATGGAATTTAAACCATACCTTGAAGTGAGTTGGCAGGTGAAACTGTCAGGGATCAAGATTCCAGGTCAGAGAACAGGATGAGCAAAGGTTCAGAGCAGGAAAGCTTGGAATGTCAGGGAATGTGCAGGGATCGTCAAGGAGCTGGGCTGTAGCAAAAGATGTGTCAAGAGAAGGTTAGTAGGAGATAAGGATGAAAGGGTAAATTGAGTCCTAGTCATGGAGGGCCTTGAATGCCAGGCAAAGGAGATTGGACTTCATTTTTAGGTAATGGGGAGAGAGACTTTGAAGGTCTTTGAGTCAGGGGTGGGGCACAGCTAGTCTTTTGGCCTTAGACGTTCATCATGCTGGTGCCAGACTTAGCATGGCGCCTCAATTGGCTTTAGCCCTCCTGCAGATCAGAAAAGTCTAGAGCTCAAGCCATCCACCAGCCTCAGCCTCCCCTAGTCACAAGGAATGTAGTCAAGTGCCACAACATCTGGCTTAGAAATGGTTTTATAATGCTAGAAATATCTTGAGATTTTATTAGTATTCACACTGCACTTAATCATGGATTCATGTAATAATTCACTTAAATCATAACCTTATTTATGATGCAAGTCATTTGAATTGAATTTTTGTACTGTCTGAGGGCTGCAAACCTACATGGGTATAACATGTTATTAACTTATCCCTGTAGTACAGGTGCTGTAGTTTGGAAAGAACAGAGACATTCATGACTATGGCCTCAAAACAGCTGGCCTCTGACTAGCTGCAGCCTAGAGATAAGCTGGCTTGCACAGCACAGTCACTGCTGTCACACAGTTCAAACATTTATGAATCAAATGCACTAGGAAGTTCCAAGAAATAAGGCTCTACCAAAAAAAATGTTGCTTTTCTTTTATAACTTCTTGACAGGCTTCAGTTTGTAGTTCTGGAGCCAGGGACTAGGAAATGTGTTAATCAAGGGCCAGTAATCCCTGCCATTCAAATCACACCAGCATCAATTGGTGCCAATAGCAGTAGCAGCAATAAAATGTTTATTGTCTGAGAAATTTCAAATGAAAACAGGATTTTTTTTTTTTGCTCTAAAAGAATACACAGGCAAAGAAGCCTTGTTGTTTTCCTTGCCAGACAGCCATTGAATTTGTCAAATAGTCTTTCTTGTTCATGAGAGGCAGTATGCTATAACATATAAATAACCATCCTTGGAACCAGAAGGTCTGGGTTCAACCCCTGCCTCTAATACAGACTGCCTGTGTGACCCTGGCCAAGTGACTTAACCTCTCAGTGCTTGAGGCAACTCTCTCTAAGACTATATAAGTAGCAGAGAAGGCTTCATTGGTGGAAGGAGTCTCCTCATGGGGAGTTCCTTAGAGCAAGGAAATCACATCTGAAATCTCTGAGAAGAGGATACATAAGGAAGAGCTGAACCTGTGGGCAAAATTTCTTTTCTGATTTTGTGTATAATTGTCTTCCTGTGTCTGCTCTTCTTTATTCTTGGGGTCCTTTTCATCTATCTATACGCTTGTAAGAGACAGTAACCTCTATTGCAGTCAAGATTTTGTAACTGATCCTAGTAACAAATAAGTGTGGTCATGGTTATAATCCCAGCCTCTTCTTCCAGCTTCACTGGGCATCACTCTCTGTCCTACATGCTGTGATCCAGCAGAACTGGCCTTCTCTCTCCTTCATTCATGTCACTTCATCTCTCATCTCTCTATACCTTTGTCCTAGTTGTTCATCACGCAGTAAATTTTTCAGTCGCAGAAACCCATAAAGAATGAATACACATGAAGTCTGAGAGGAACTGTGATCTGTAGCAATGAAGGACCTGCTTTGGCTGATACAATCATGAGCCCCTGAGTATGGAAACAGAGATATACTTTAGGCAGATGAGGCACCAAAGATACACAATGAAGCAGTAACAAAGAATGTTATACTAGGCGTTTCAGAATTTACAACTTTGAACATGGTGGTCTCTCCTTTCAACATTTTTGTCTTCTTTAAAACCTGCATCAGCAGTGTAGTCTAATCTACATGGTGTGACAGTAAGCTTTTAAATTCTCTGTGGAACTTGGGCACTTCCTAAAGAAATGTCCCTCTTTTATGTTCTTTTCATGAGTCAGAATGGTAAGAATATCATTGAAGAAACTTTGCCTGATTCTATAGGACATTTCATTTTGATGCTTGTGTTTATCAGTGTTGCAGATCAGTGCTCCTCCATGCCTTCTCATCTTGTATAAATATTGTCCCATGTTTCCTGTGAATTGTCCACAGAAAAGCCATGCTATATTCTAGAAGGCCTCTAGGTCTTTTAGAAAAAAGAATAAGCTGCTTTGTATCAACACCGAAACCAAAAAGTTTAAAGCTAAATAGTTTAAACCTACAGTAGGAATTTTTTAAAAATTAAATGTATGAACTAATGATGATGAGGGTAGGTGATAATGATGAACTAATGAATCAACAAGCATTTATGAAGATCCTACTATGTGCCAGGCATTGTGTTAGGTGCTGGGGATATAAAGGCAAAAGTAAAGCAGTCCCTTCTCTCAAGAAGCCTACATTCTAATGGAGGAGACAACATGTATATAAATAGTTACAAACAAGATCCATACAGAGTAGATGGAAGGATAACCCTAGAGGGCAAATTAGTGGTAGCTAATATTACTTCAAGGTTTGCAGAAATGCTTCGTGTGTTGACTCATTTATTCTGAGGTTTTTTTTTAAGACAGTTGGGGTTAAATGACTTGCCCAAGGTCACACAGCTAGTACGTATCAAGTGTTTTGTCTGAGGCTGGATTTGAACTCAGGTCCTACTGACTTCAGGGCCCGTGCTCTGTCCACTGCACTACCTAGCTGCCCCTATTCTGAGTTCTTTGATGGCTCTTCCTGCAAATGAGAGGTAGTGTAGTACACCTGTAGGCAACCTGTTCTTAGGATACTAGGACTTGAATGAAGTCATACTACAACTCTGCCACTCCCTAGCCTTGTAACCTTGTTCAAATTGCTTCTCCTATCTGAACCTCAGTTTTCTGAATCTGTAAAGTGAAAAGGTTTTACTAGATGATCTCTAAATCTCCTTCCGAGGCTGGATTGAAGGTTTTGTGATCCCCTGAATCCAGCAAGAGAGAAATGATTCCTTAGACAATGGTTACCTTTTGAAAACTATAGCTTTCCTGTTTAATAAATAACTCATATTTTTATAGTGTTTTAATATTACCAAATGTTTTCCTCATTAACAATCTTGTGAGGTAGGTAATGTATGTATGTAATTTCTACTTTAGCAAAGGAGGAAATCAAGTCTCAGACTGGGAGAATCCAAATTCCTTTTTTAGACTGATTCTCAAAAAGAGTAGAAAGTGAATGAAATTAAATGAATGAAAAAGACTACTTGTGTGCCACGTATGAGAGATATTAATACAAAAGCAAAAATAAACCCTGAAATCCCTCAAGGAGCAAACATGCTAATAGGTGGAAACAAAACAAATTAGGGGAATGGTTCCCAGGGAATAGTGTTTTGAACTGGGAAATCACAGAAATTGTGAGTAAGCCATAGAAGAGTTGATCAACTTACTCTTTCTAATATAGATGGCAGTACTGATATAATTACAGTTCTCAGAGAAAGAGTTGGAAAGTGGGCTTCAGGGTAATATGTCAAGACAATGTGCAAGGTGGAATGTGAAGCAAGACTGGGGCATTCTGCATCTAGTGAACCATGGGAGCTTGTGCTCTGTGCACTCACTGTGACAGTATGAGCCTCAGGGCCAGTGTTCCAAAGCTTGAATGGATTAAGTCACCCAGGGCACCATCTGAGGCCCTGTTGTCTTTTTTTGCCCTGTTGCTTCTGGGGTAGCATGTCAGAAGAAACTGCATATACCTTTCCGGAAAATCTATAAGGCTTTAGCACTTGGGGTAAGGGGTAATTCTTAATTTGGAGTCCATGAACTTTTTTTAATTAATAATTATATTCAGTATAATTGGTTTCCTTTGTAATTTTATTATTTTATTTTATGCATTTAAAAACATTATTCTGAGTTGTCAGTAGACTTCACTAGACTTTGAAAGGTGTCCATACCATAAAGAAAGGTTTAAGAATCCCTTTCTTAGAAAATGATTTATTCCTCTTTCCCCAGTTTCCCAGATTGTGACATTTTAAATTTCTTGTCAGCTTAAAACTGAAAGAGATTTGATTGTATCCTTCTGTAGTTATAGATGGAAAAATTTGATGTAGTGGAATCTTAATTGGTATCTAGGGAGAAATGAATGAATTATTGTGGCAATTTTGCCGATTTTATTTATGTGACTCTAGATTTTAAATTGGCAGGAGAAGAGAGGGGAGGATTTAAAAGGGAGGTAGAATAAGAGCAGCAAATATTTGTGGCTTTCCCTAAAAGTACATACAGATATATTTTGTTTTATTTATGCAGACATTAAGGGATTATGTGTCTAAGGTATCAAAGATACTGTTTGATTTTGTGTCTCCCCCCTCCCCCCACTTTTTTTTTTAGGATTATGACAGCTTTTTTGAATCAAAGGAAAGCAACACAGTCTTTTCATTCTTAGGCCTGAAAGCAAGATTGCCGTCAAAGGTAAATAAATATCTTCTTAATCCCTTTTTGGAATTTATTCTACTAGAATCCTTGTTAAGGGTGTGGACTCATTGATGCTATCCTATATTTCAGTTTCCATTTTCTCAGCTGATTAATTGATAAGGAATACATTCAAAACAGATCATGGAATTGCAGATATGAATGGGCACTCAGGAATGATCTAGCATAAACCCTACCCAAAAGGCATTCCTGTCAACACCATCTCTAACAAGTGATCATTTGATTGGAAGACCTTCAGTAACAGGAATTCTCTCTCTAGAGCACTGTCCATTCCATTTTTGGTTAATTCTGTTAGAAAGTTTCAAAAGTTCTGAGCTTCAGTAGGGCTAAAATTGATTAGATGTCCAATATGACAAGCCTTCAGGAGTGGAGGGAGGGAACAGGTCGAACCAGGTCAAAAACAGTAGGTAAAAGTTTTTGGACTAATCAGTAGTGGAGTCAGGTCCATGAATGGCTGTTGCACAAACCCACGCAAGATGGGGGAACCAGTCTCAATAACAACAACAACAACAACAACAACAAACTGTGTCCTTGACCATTCAAACCAAAAGCTCTTCTTAACTTTTATGATCTGAATCCCTCTTCATTTAGCAGGATCAAGAAGTAGAAACCTGTATCAGCCTATGAGCTCTTTGGCACCTAAATATTTGTTAAATTGGAAATTGAATAAAATTTTATTTTTTAATACCTAGTCATGTCTGAATAGTGCCCAAGTAGAGAACAGGAGACTGACTTGTGACAGGGGATGGTCAGTATTGAGATGATGTTGTCAATCTTTAGCTATGATAGTGAAGTCACCTAATGTAAACGTCGTCTCCTTTTGTAGTCTTTGTGCACAATGTGGAAGCTCTAGAACTGGTTCTCTTTTTTGTTGTCTGGATCCAGAAATAATTGACATTATTGGAGCCTTTCCATATACTTGGGACCACTTGCAAATTAAACTTTTTGATATTTGGAATTTGGCAGACATGAGCCCCAATTAGGGAAGACTAATTTCATTAATTCTAGTAAAAGACATTTATATTGTAGTGTTAGTTTGAGAGCACTAGATCCAGAGCCAGAGAACCTGGGCTTAAATCCTGGTTCTATTATTTACTACTTGTAAGGGTCAGAATGGTGTGGTGGATAGAGTGGTGGGTGTGGAGTCAAGAAGACCTGGGTTCAAATTCTAATTCTGGCGTTTATTAGTTATATCACCATGGATGGTAAGTAATTTGTCTTCCCTGACTTTCAGTTTTCTCATCTATAAAATAGGGATAGTAATTCTTGTAGTACCTGCCTCTGACAATTGTAGTAAGGTTCAAATGAGGTGAGGTGTATAATACAATACAATACAATACAAATGTTGGTCATTATCATCATTATTTACATGACTTTGGATAAATTTTTAAATCTCTGTAACCCTTAATTTCCTTATATGTAAAATGAGGTGGTTGGTACAGATGACCTTTAATGCCTCTTCTAGTTCCACATCCAATGATCTCTTGATTTAATGTCAGTGGATTCTGGGAATATTACACTAAACCACCAAATGCTTGGAGAAGAAACTGTTTCTGGCTTAAAGAAAAGTCTTACTTTGATGTTGTCTATCCTTAAAAGTATTAAGTAGTCAGTAGACTTTAAACTGTTGTGGGTTTTTTTTTAATGTTAGCTACCAGTAGTTCTTCATTATTCATGGTAGCAGGATACAAGGGTAATGAGGGAAGTTGCTCAGTATTTAGACTATTCTCCTTCCAAATTGTCTCCTAGAAGAACGCTGGAAGGAAAAATAGCTAATTTGTATTTTACATTTTCCACCTGTTGTGTCAACCTTCCACTCTCCAGAAACTATGACTAGAATTACTAACAAATAACCAAGTTGAGCAGTTTTGAATATCACCTCTTATTTTCATTGCTCATCTTCCAAACATCATAGTAAGAAGTAAAATGATGAGAGAGAGAAGATGCATATGGATAAATCTGAATGTTTTCCTTTTGGACCTTAATTTCAAGGTTTCCAGTTTTATCCAATGAATGGAAATAAATGCAAACTATTTAGAATGTTTATGTTTTGGGAGAAGTAGGTTCTTCTAAAGTTCCCCAGGGTTTGAATCTTTTCTACATACCTTGTGAGAGAAGGGAGGGGCTCAATCAAGGGTAAGTTGGCTGGGGATAGTGATGCATGTCTGCAGTTGCTCCTTCTGAGGAGGCTAAGGCTAGTAGATGGCTTCAGTTGGGAGTTCTGAGCTGCATAGGGCTAGAGCCAATCAGGTGTCTGCACTAAACCTACTTCCAATATAGTGAGCCCCTGGAGAGCAGAGGTCCACCAGGCTGGCTAAAGAGGGATGAACTAGCCAAGGTCAGAATAATGGAACAAGTTAAAAACTTCTGTGCCAGTCAGCAGTGGGGTTGTGCCAGTATCCTTCTAGCCTGAGTGAGGTAGGGAGACCCAGTTTCAAAAAACAAAAACAAAGAACAAAAGTTAAAAATAGGCCCCATCGGTATACTTCTGGTATAAAGTGGAATTTTGTTTTTCATCATTTGAGCCTCCAGATGGTTGTGGGTGTTTTCCTTGCACATGTGTTAAGCAAAAACAAAACCCACACATACACATTTTAAAGGCTCTTAGAACTGTACTTAATATAGAACAGTTACGTGCTTGTTAAAATTCTAGTATCTATATAAAATTTCTCAGAAAAGGATCTTAAGAATACAAATTTATCTGCAAAGAACTAAAAATATGTGTTGTGGAATCATAAAAACTGGAAGGCAACTTGGTGGTTGTCTAATGCACCCTGCATTTGACCAAAACATTTCTTCTACCACATCACGAACAAATGATCATTCAGTCTATGCTTGAAGACCTTCAATAAGGGAGAATAGCAAATGGGCTAGTTTGGATGGCCAAAATGTACTTGAAGGGGAATAATGTATAAAAAAGCTCAAAAGTTAGGTTGAAGCTAGATTGGGCTTTAAATGTCAAGCAGATGAGTTTGTGTTTTATTCTAAAGGTAATGGGAGCCATTGGAGATCACTGGGCTGGAGAGTGATATGGTCAAACCTGTGCATTAAGGTAAATCACTTTGGTAGCTATATGCAGTATAGATTAGATGGGGGAAAGAGTTAAGTCAGGGATTCCAGTTAAGAGGCCATTGAAGTAGTTCTGATAAGAAAACAAGAGAACTACATTAGTAGGCCTCAACTAGGGTGATGGCCATTTGAGCAAAGAGAAGGTACAAGAAATGTGGAGGCAACTTACTGGATATGTGGGGTGAGGGAGAATGAAGAGTCAAAGATGTCTCCAAGGATGTATAGCTGGGTTACTGAAAAGATGGCTGTGTCTCAGCAGAAACAAGGAAATTCAGAAGAGGTTGAGGAAGATAAGGAATTCTGTTTTGGACATGTTGAGTTTGACACGCCTGCAAGGCATGCAGTTCGAAATGTTTGAGAGACAGTTCATGGTACAGGACTGGAGCCCAAGAAAATCAGGGTTAGATGTAGAGATCTGGGAGTCATCTGCATTTGAGGGGATTATTAAACCCATGGGAACTAATGAGGTAAGTGAAAGAGAACATATTGAGACGGAGCCTAGGAGTAAGCCCACATTTGGGAAATGATACCGATGAAGATCCTCAGAGGAGACTCAGCAGTTAATGTTGTACAGGACAGAAACTGAGAGAATACTGTCAGGAAAGCCCAGATAAGACAGTTTCCAGAGAAGGGGGGTTAACAGCATCAAAAGCATAAGAAAGATCAAATAGGATGAAAGTTGAGAAAAGGCCATCTGACTTGGCAATTTAAGGATAATCTCAGAGAGGCCAATTTCTGTTGAGTGGTGAAGTTGGAAGCCAGATTGTAAAGGGTTGAGAGGTGGATGAAAGGAGAGGAAATAGAGGTAACAAGAGTAGGACTTTGGCTTTGAAAGGGAGGAGAAATAAAAGAAGACAGTAGCTTGAGGTGATGTTAGTGGCAAGGAGATCAGGACATATTTGTAGGCATCAGGAAAGGAACCAGATGATAAGGAAAGATTAAAGATGAGAGAGAGAGTGAAATACGGGAGCCAAACAGAATTTCTAATCCCTCTTTTACATTTCAACCTTTTTAATACTTAAGACAGCTACCACATTCCCTTCCCCACTTTTCCTCACCAACTGTTGTCTTTTTCAAGCTGAATACCCCCAGTTCCTTCTGTCCTTTTATGGCATGGAGTCAAACCATTTCACTGTCCTGGTCACTCTGTTTTGAATGTGTTCTACTATGTTTATATGTTTCCTAAAATATAGTGCCCCAAAGTGATTAACCTGACCAGGGCAAAGTATGGAGAGTCATCATCTCCCTTATGCTGTATGCTAAGGCTGTCTTAATGCTGTCTAGGAAAACATTACACTTTTTTTTTTTACACTACCGTGCCACATTGTTGATTAATATTAGCTTGTGTTCCACTTTGACTCCCAGATCTTTTTCACAGGAACTGTTTTCTAGCTACATCTCCCCTATTCTGTGCTTGTCAAGTTGATATTTTGAACCTAATTTCAAATTTTTCATTTGTTCCTATTAAATTTAATTTTATTAGATTAGCTTCATTGTTCTGACTTGTCAAGAACTTTTTGGACCAGACTTTTTTTTATTTGATATGTCAACTGTCTCTTCATCTTTCAGTCATCTTATTTTCTCAAGGAGAGGAGTCCAACAAGAATCTGGAGAAAGGGAAGTGAGATTTTTCAGGCAGTCTCAAAAAGAAGCCCCCTCCCCCTTTTTGCCTAACTATCCTATTATTACTAGTCCACATCACTCCTTCTTGTCCTCTAGGTTCCTATCTGAGACTTTGTTAAATGCTTTGATAAAATCTAGGGAAACTCTGCCTCCTACATTCCTCTGATCTACTGATGTTTTTGATCTCTGATCTACTGGGGTTCTCTTATCTACTTTGTCAAAAAGGAAGATGAAGTTAGTCTGGCATAACCTGTTCTTGATGAAGCCATGTTCCTTTTAGTGATCAC